GCCTCAAAAGCAGAAATCCCAGCAGTAAGGTTAAGGCCTCATCATCACAGCTGGGTCACATGCCCATCCCCTGAGGGACGGCCTGCCAGGCTGCCCTGCCAACCAGGAGCCCAGAGCTGGGCGGTGGGGGTGGGGACGGGGTGAGCAGCCTCACCTGACCACATGGCTGGGACGGGGAAAGGGCTGGACCCAAAGGACAAAGGAGGGGCAGCCCCAGGAGAAGGGGAAGCCTTCTCCACGTGGACAGTGATTTTAAGGGTGTGGCTGGCCGGTCATTTTAATGCAAGTGGAGGACAGAGGGTGATAGTGTGGGAAGGAGGGTGGAGGCAGATATGGGGGCCCTAAGGTTTCCTGTTGGGACCTCTGGAGGAGCCCTGGGACCTGGGACCACACCCAGGAGCCTGAGGTGGGATGCGTTGGGTGTGTGAGTGACCAGGCTGGCCGCCGTACAGCCTCCAAATATGCCTGTCCATGGCCACATCCGAATGACGGACGGCTACCCCGGGACCTGCCAGCCAATGGACCCTTGCCGCCTCAAGTCCCCTCGAGGCCCCAGTTCCTCCAGATGCATCCCATGGGGGCCCTCAAAGAGCAGGACGCCTGTCCCTTTTCCCGACATTGAGGCAGCTGGAGGCCCCAGTGTCTGCCGCTGGCGTGCCCTGGGATGGTGGGGTCTCAAGACAAACCTTACTTAACCACAGCCTGCAGGCGTGAGGCATTCTGGGAGGTGTGTGACAGCAGCACGGTCACCTTCTCAGTCCCCGGCTTGGCATATGGTGTCTCCTTTGTCCCTCCTGCTCCCGGTGCTGGGCAAGGGCAGGGCAGACCCAGAGACACACGGCAGGGGCCATTCCCGCCACAGCCATGGGGGCTGGTGCAGACTCCTCCGGACACACTGTTGCCCTGGAGACCTGCTGAGCTGGGTAAAGCACTGGGCACCGAGAGGGGGCCCCATCCCGGGCCTGGCTGTAACGTGGGGAGGGACAGGGGCTGCACGACGCTAGACTCGCAGAGGCCGGTATCTCGGAAGTCCATACAGCAGCCTGGGTTCCAGCTGAGGCCCGGATGCCGCCTTGAAGAACCGGGTGCCTTTTGCTGTCATCGATCCACAGGGATGCTGGCCTGGCTTCTGACCTCCTCCTGCTCCTCCCCTCTGCCCAGGCCACACTGTTTCATTTGTGACTCACGTTTGTGTCAGTGAGGTCCAGTGAGTCTTGGGAGGGAGTCAGCCCAGGTAGCCAGCAGCCCCACCTCCCGACACAGTGACAGCAGGTCCCAGGGAGCCAGCAGAGGCCAAGCCTGGACGTGACGTGAGGCACGCACCCTAACAGTGGGGGAAGGGGCCCGGGAGCCATCTAGCCCACCCCTTGTCTTCCCAGGTGGGGAACTGAGGTCGGGCTAGGGCGAGTCCACAGGACGTGGCATGGCAGGGTGAGGAGGCCACCTGGACTTAGGCCCCCTCCCAGCAGCCCCAAGTGGACGCTGACACAGGAGGCTGTGTCACTGCCTCCTGCCACTCGCCAGCTCAGTGACCTTAGGCAACTCACTCAACCTCTCTGAGCCTCCTCTGATGATGGTTGTGATGCTGATGATATGGTGATGATGGTGATGATGATATGAAGTCGACGATGATGGTGATGATGATGATATGGTGATGGTGATGGTGGTGGTGATAATCATGGTGATGACAGTGTCCCCCGGGACCCCTTCCCTGCCCCCTAGGGCCATATCCCAGAGCAGTGGTATGACTGCCTCCAGAAGCCAAAGGACAGGGAAGTCCTGTGCAGGGTTCTTCACAAAGCGGTCAGAGATAATATCCTCCCTAAAGATTCTCTTTCTTTTATAAAATAATTATGGTAACAAAGAGAGACTTAGTGTTTTTAAGTGTCCTTACTGAACCAAATTAAAAACTTGGTAAAACTTGAACAGGTCTATACCCTTCCTTCCTTTGTTTAAAATTTTATCGGTCCATGAAATCCCGAAGTCTGGGACCCACTGGCTGACCCAGGAAAGGCCCCTTTCTGAAACATCCTTTTCCTCTGGTAAACACAGGCACGTGTCCGCACGCACGCGCGCGCACACACGCTCTGTCTGCTTCTGGAACCTGGAAACTCTGACCTCAGCCAGGGGCGTGCACCAATCAGCTCTCAGCACCAGTGGTTCCCTAGACAACCAGCACAGAGCTGGCGGGCGGGGATTAAGCAACAGAGGCTATTAAGAGTAATAATAACAATTAACGGCCAGTCCCCGTGGTCCTTCAGCGGCTTCGTGAACTACTCTGCTTAACTCCACAAAGAGGTTCCAATCCCATTTATCCCTCCGGGCCTGTCGCATCTGTGGGCCCCACACAGATGTCGCGGGGCTGGCCTGACCAGATGCATTGCCTGGCCCGCGTGCTCCCTCCACACAGTTATCTGACTGCTGGGGCCCTCAGCCCAGCCCACGGAAGGTCAGTGTCCCTGGGCTCCCTCCTCACCCCGCTCTCAGGATTCTGAGTCCCAGAGAACAGAGCTGAGTCTCCTGTCCCTGCGTCTGGGGCACAGCGCCTGCCTCCCAAGTGGGCTTGAGGATTGATGACTAGAATTGAACCCGGGCACGATGCAGGGTGACCAGGAGGAGGGGCAGGAGGACACAAAACGTCTGGGTGCATTTGGTCCCGGTGCCAAGCACAAGGGACGTGCGTGCAGCTCGGCTGGAGCGGTGCCCGGGCTGGCCAGGGCCCCGTGTGCTCAGGCCGCCCTGGAGGTGTGCAGTGTGTTTTATTGGCCAATTTACAATGGGATGTTCAGATTAGGTCAGCAAGCCTTCACATTGGGTCTCTACCAGGAGTGAGATGCTGGGGGTGATACGGAGAGAAGTAAGTCCAAACCCCCACCTGTGAGCACCATAGAATGCCCAGGGACTTGCATCCTCTCCAGGGGTCAGATAGTGTGGTCTGGTGGTTCTGAGCCTGGGCACTGGAGCCCGTCTGCCTGCCGGGAGTCTCATCCTGACCCTGCCTTTTAGTAGGGGTGTGACTGCCTGGGCAGTCTTTGTCATCACCAGCCATGAAAGGGGTCCAGTCGTCCCACCTCCCTCGCTGGGCTGCTGTGACCAGCGAGTGGATGAGTCCAGATGGCCACAGATCAAGGACTCCATCAACGTTAGTGAGGACGAAGATGGTGATGAGGTAGCAGAGATACGCCGAGCAGAGGCGGGGTGGCTACCTCCACGGGGAGGACTCTCAGGGTCCCGAGCAGGGGTTTGAAGGGTGGCATAAAATGGAGCAGAAAGCGAGGGGCCGCCCCTGGCTGGACTCACTCTGGTCGAGTCTGCTGAACGGCATGTGCACCCTCTCACTGGAGGGTGGTGACAGTTACATGAGTGAATACAGGAGCCGCACTAAGGACAGGGCCTGGTATGCAGTAAGCGCTCAATTAGTGTCTGTGATGACGATGGTGGTGGTGGTGGTGAAGATGTTGCTGTTCAGGGAACTGTAAGTTTTCTATTCTCAGGGCCTCCAGGAGAGTGATGGGAAAGGGGTGGAGAGGCCAATGGGAGCCAAGTCACAGAAGACCCCAGCCCACACATCAGTTAAGGCAGCATTAGCCACTGTAACAAAGAAATCCCTGGAGTGTAGCTTGAAGCCATAGAAGTTTGTTGCTTACTTTAACAGTTCAATGCACAGAGACCCAGGCATCTGCTAGATGGATTCTACCATCCTGTAGGGCCTGGGGGCGTGGGGGTTGGTCCCGACACCTTTGAGCTGGGAGAGGCAGGAAGAGAGAGTAAGGAGAGCACACTGGCTTCCATCGAAGCCAAGCTTGGTAGGGCCCCCCACCGAACCCTTGCAATGGAATGTGCTCACATTCCATTGGTGGGAACTGGTCACATGGCCACACCTGGCTGCAAGGAGAGCTGGGAAATGTAGTCCTGGACTGGACATCTGCTCCTCTCACCCCGCCAAAAGGCAACTCCGTACCATATAGAAAGGGAGCATGCTTATTTTGCTGAAATGGCTGTCTCTAGGCACAAAAGGAGCCGAGGGGTATCGCTCTGACCTTCTCAGGACCCTGACATTTATTCCCATTTGAACTGAGAATTTGTGTTTGAGGGTTTGAATAAAATCCTTTCACCTTGAACTGTAGGATCAAGGAGACTGACCACAGAGAGGAGTTTAAATGAGATTTTGAGCTTTTTTTCCTGAAGTCTGTTTGCATAATGTCTCTGTATTTTTTTCCAAAGTTTAGGAAGGAGATTGTCTGGGAGACTATTTTTTTAATATTTATTAATAACATATATATATATATAATAATAAGACTGTATTTATTTAGGAGGAATATATCTAAACCTGCGTGAATCATGAGCCGCCGTATTTCTTGTGTGTATGTTGTTGTGTGTTTTTTCCCTCCAGCCCCGAGCTGTCTATTAAATCTAATTACATCGTTCACATCATTTCCCATGAAATTTACATCTAAATCTGCTGAGTAAGGGAAGCGAGCAGAGAACTTAATTAGGAATGTTAATCATGTTTGTTCGTTTTTTTTTTTTTGTAGGAGAAAGCAACCGTAATCAGAAAAATAACAATAAACATTCTTTTTTCCCAAAGGCAGTCCCTCGCAGGTTCTCAGATTTGCTGGAAAGCTCAGCAGCATCACTTGAGAATACCGTTCTAGCGGATTCCGTGTGCCCATGGGCTGCTGCTGTCCCAGCTTGAGCTTGCATGCCCCTGTCTTCTTTGCAGAGTGCTTCCTCCTGCGTCCTCCACAAGCCAAGGACCCCAGGACTCTGGAAGGGAGCTCCTGACTCTTCAGTAGTCACCCTGGGGCTCATATGCATTCCCCAGATTTTGCGAAGTTAGACCCCCGAACGAGGCCTCGTCTTCCTCCCAGATCTTTCCCCAGGAGAGCGGGTCTCACGTGTCGTAGGTCAGATAAGTGAGAAGCCCCGCCAGCCTCGCGTGGTTTCAGCAGTCAGGGATCGTGACTTTTCTAAACGATGTCTCTCTTCCCTCTGTGCAGAAACTCGTGCAGACCGCAGCAAGAAGCTCTTCAGGCATTACACGGTTGGCTCGTATGACAGCTTCGATGCCTCCAGGTAAGATGTGTTCTTTTCAGGGCCCCCCCTGGTCAGAGATGCTCGTATGTGGCACGAAAGCACTGGACCATTCTTGCATGGAGCACCCCTTGACTTGCTTCTCCCTCTGTGTCCACCACGACCCCCTGGACATGGTCTAGGATTACGGAAGCCACCGTCTTCCAGAGAACCTGCCTGAGAGGCGGTCTCCGTGCCACCCGTGGTTTGGGGTGTGGCTGGAGCACACCTGTGGGGTGGCCCCAGGGAGAGGGCTGTCTTTCCAGGAGGAGGAGAACCCAGCATTGTTTTGGGGTAAAGCATTACAAATGTTAGAGATGACAACCCCTGGCCACAGGAGCCTCGAGGCAGCATCCCCCTAGGGGAGTATTCAGGATGCTCTGTGTTTCCGTCTCATCTGCATTTTCCATGTTTGTTTCTGCCACTGAGTCGAAGTTTTTGCACGTGGAAGGCTCATGCCCCTTGCCGGGCATGACACCGATCAAGCAGAGAGCACCTTTAAGAATGGCGAGTTTGCTTTCTGGCTTCTTTAAAAGGAAGATTGTTTGGTTCCTGCAGAAAATCCTGTACCTTAAGATGCGGCATGGGGCGTGGGTTGGAATTTTCCCACAGACTCGTACAGCACACCCCACGGAGACATCCTCGGGGCTCCTGGACCCCTTCCTGTTAACTTGGGGGGAGGTGGAGGCAGGCCGGGCTGCCGCGGGGCGAGGGGCAGCACCCTGTTTCAGAGCATCGGCTCCACAAACAGCTGGGGAATGAGCAGCATTTCTGACCAGTGTCCCTGTTGCCACTGGAGCTTCTGCAGCTCTTATTGTCCCCAAGCGTGAGGTTTCTCTGTCCCTTTGCTCTGTCACCAGCACAAGTCCCTACACTGGGGGCTGGAAGGGTGTGGAGAAAGGCCTCTCTACATTGAGAACCTGTCCCCCCACCCAGATAGAGGTTCTTAGTGGACGGTGAGCTCAATGAGAGTCAGCCCGTGATGCAGAGACGGGAAGGACACGCGGGCTGCAAGACCCGATGGACGGGAGGGCCCTGTTCCCCACCCTGCTGGACGGCCATCCATGGGGCATCTTCTGAGAATCCAGCCATTTCCTCCAGAGAAGGTCCAGGCTGGGGAAGGACCTGGACACCCTGCCCTGGGTTCCTCAATCCTGCCCTCCAGGGCCCCCGGTGGGATGTGTGATGAGCAACTCAGACCTGTTCTCTTTTTTTATTTATTTTTTGTGAGGAAGATTGGCCCTGAGCTAACATCTGTGCCAATCTTCCTCTATTTTATGTGAGATGTCACCACAGCGTGGCTTGATGAGTGGTGTTAGGTCTGTGCCCCCGATCCAAACCTGTGAACCCTGGGCTGCCGGAGCGGAGTGCACGAACTTAACCACTACACCACTGGGCTGGCCCCACTCTAATTTTTTTTTATTGTGGTAAAATATACATAAAGTAAAATTTACCATCTTAACCATTTTTAGTGTACAGCTCGGTGGCATTAACTGCATTCATGTTCTTGTGCAACCATCACCACCATCCATCTCCAGAACTCTTTTCATCTTCCCAAAGTGAAATTCTGTCCCAATTAAACGCCAATTCCCCGTTACCCCTCCCCCAGCCCCTGGAACCACCTTCTGCCTTCTGTATCTATGAATTTGACCACTCTAGGGACCTCATTTAAGTGGAATCAGACAATATTTGTCCTTTTGTGACCGGCTCCTTTCACTTAGCGTCATGTCCTCAAGGTTCATCCAGGTTGTAGCATGTGTCTGAACTTCCTTCCTTTTTTAAGGCTGAGTAATATTCCGCTGTGTGGCGATACCACATTTTGTGTATCCGTTTATCTGTCCACGGACGCTTGGATTGCTTCCACCTTTAGGCTACCGTGAATAGCACTGCTGCGGACTTTCATGTACAAGTAGTTTGTGAGCACCTGTTTCCAGTTCTTTTGGGTCTATGCCTAGGAGTGGAGTTGCTGGTTCAGCCTGGCTTTGTTGCTGGGCTGTCCCGATCACTTTTCTCTCGCAATCAGAACGTACTGTAAGAGGAATCCTGCTCCCGGCAGAGGAGCTGGGTCCCCACCTTCAGGGCGCTTTGCAGCCTTTCCAGGTCTTGCTGAGATTGCCCACACTTTGACCTTGAAAGGCCAGGTTGTGAGCCGTGGCCTGGCCATCAGCACAGCCCAGAAAGGGCACTCAGAGGCTGGTGGCTTCCAGGGAGCCACGCCTGACCCTGGCTTCTCCAGATGAGTTTTTATTTGGGTCAGAGGCATCATTTCTGCCGCTGCAGGAGGCTGCCTGTCAAAGTGGACCCTGGGCACATGGTCACGGTCACCGCGCCTGTCACACTTGGCTTCCGTTCTAGGAAGGAGGGTGCCTGAGGCTCAGAGACCGCCTGAGAGCTGTTGCCATGGTTACTGCCAGGGCTGTCCAGGCTGGGGGTGGGGCTTCGGGTGAAAAGGGGGCCTCTGAGAGCTGGAAGGGGCTGGGCAGCAATTCGTCCGCAGGCTGTGGCTTTGGCGGAACCATCTCCCCACAAGACCCGTTGTCAGCAGAGGGCAGCCGTCAGGCCGCCCTTTGGGTGTGCGTGTGCGTGTGCGTGAGAGTGGGCGTGCCTGCACGCTCAGCATCTGAAACAGGCGGCTCCACATTCGGGGCTGCTTCCCCACAGAGGAGCCGTTGAAGGGCCTGACTTGACTGAGCTGGGAACAGAGAATATTTTAGGGCCAGGCCGGCTGGGTCACATGTCACGTGGCTGACAGCAGGACCAGAACACACCAGGGACGCACACTGCCGACAGCTTGGCTGACAGAAGACGTGTGGGACCATCATAGCTGTTCAGTGATAGAACAGAGCTGTGATGAGCTCCCCGCCACTGGAGGGAGTCAAGCAGTCTGCATCCCTGTGTCTTGGTGCCCAGACGAAGGTTTTTGTCTTATGTGTATACTGACCACCCGCTCGGTTCCAGGACCTGAGACCTCAGAGGAAAGGGACATCTGGCCACACCTGGGTCAACCGATAGCTTCTGAGCGAATGGTACAAGGTCTGGCCTTGACCGCAGTTTAGAAACGAGCCCTGACTTTCCCACAGTGAAGGGATCAGGCTGGCTATGGGCCTCATGTGCCGAGATGTCACAGTGAGAGGAGTAAGAGTAACAAGGGTCGCAGTATTTATTAATCTCCCACCATGTGCAAGCCGCCTTGCATTGATGTCAGCGCCGCTGACCGCCGACCCTGCCAGCGACCTTGTAAATCCATGTCATTTTCCCCTTGGCAGGAGCATGGAAGCAGAGAAAGGAGGGCCACCTTAAAGACCTGGCCCTCGGCCACACGAGTGTCTGAGCCCGAGGGTAAGGTCCGGCTGGCCGGCATACAGAGCCCTTGTCCTCAGCCCCCTCTCTCCCAAGGGGAAGATGTTCCCACCCAGGGCTGGCCAAGGGATCAGCCTGGGATTGAGAGAAATTGGTGAGGATGAGAGCCCAGATTTTCTGTCGAGACAGAATCATCAGCTCGTAAAGTGTGTTGGGAGGAGAGAACAATGATATTGGCTTGGTCAGCATGGGGCCCTGGAGCTTTCCCATAAAGGGGGCGGCGTTAGCCTATGGGGGGCCTGCCCTGTCCCGGAACTGACCTTATCCAGATGGGGAACTTGGCAGGGGCAATGGAGGGCGGGCAGCGAGGAGCTTGCAGAGCCCAGCTGGCATCGTAACCCAGGCGACTGGCGAGCGTGGGTCCTGAGCGGGTACCGGAGTGAGAGGCTGCCCGCCGGCTCCTCTGATGGAGCGGGCGGAGCGCGGCCAAGGGGCGTGCGAGCTGCAGTGCAGGGTGAGCAGCCGCAGTTCGCCACTTCCGAGGTCACGTCCCAAACGGCCTGACGAGACGTGGAGATCTGGTTGCCGTGCCAGCTCCCACCGCCCGGGCCGATGAGCCTCTGTCGGTGGTGGGGTTACGGTCCAGGCAGGCAGCTCGTGGCTGAGGCCGCCCCACTGCACCTGTCATTGAGGAAAGTGCAGTAGGAAGCGAGACTCCGCGGAGACAGTTTCTGAATTGGTCGGGAGGTTTCTCCCCTCCCCACCCCCTCTTATGTCACAAACTTGGCTCAGAGACTCAGAGCTGAAGAGCAGGATGGTAAAAGCACACCCGTTCGTGGTCGAACGCGTCCAGTGGCTCCAGCCGATTCCCTCCTCAGAATTCCCCTCCACTTGCCCAGCATGCACATGATAGAAGGGTCTAGAAGTGTGGGCATATGATCAAGGTCAGAAGGCAGAGAACCTGGGGCCGTTTCCACACAGGACCTTACAGGTATTTCCATGTCCTGTTTAAAAACACTTCTCAACCCATGGGACAGGATCTCAAGTCTCCACTCCCCTTAAATCAGATCTCCAGCCGCCTTAGCATGGGACATCCAGGAGGAGTCGACCTGGGAGAGGCGGGGAAGGCCTCAAGGTCCCACCCTAGGCTGAAGAGACTCCATCCGTGCATCCATCCACCCACCCACCTATCCATCTATCCATCCACCCACCTATCCATCCATCCATCCATCCATCCACCTATCCATCCATCCATCCATCCATCCACCTATCCATCCATCCATCCATCCATCCACCTATCCATCCATCCATCCATCCATCCACCTATCCATCCATCCATCCACCCACCTATCCATCCATCCATCCATCCATCCACCTATCCATCCATCCATCCATCCATCCACCTATCCATCCATCCATCCATCCATCCACCTATCCATCCATCCATCCACCCACCTATCCATCCAGACATCCATACATCCATCCACCTATCTATCCGGCCATCCAAATACCTATCCACTCAGCCAGCCAGCCAGCTAGCCATCTACCCACTCATTCATCCAGCCAGCCATTTACCTAGCCATCCACCTACTCATCCATCCATGTACCCACCCACCTATCCACCCATCCATCCATATCGATCTATCCATGTCCATCAATTCTCCCACTCATTCTTCCATCCACCTACCCACTCCCCCATCCAT